AATAGTGGAATGTAACTAATATATTCATCTAGACAGTAAATTCTCCCCATCCAGAACAGACAAATGCTACACTCAAGACATAATACATGAAAAGATAGAATATTTATTTTATTAATTATCTATATAACAGTGTAGAACTTCTATTTACAAGATTGCATATGTGCAGTGTTGACAAATGCACAAGAATAAGGGTTTCCTGAAATATTTCAGAGGATGTAGAGTTGGGGAAAAAAAAAAACCAAAACAAAACAGAAGAGGTTCCAAAGCTGTTAAATTTTCCAAAGGAGTACATGATCGAAGAAGCATGAGCAGTCACGCACTTTGCAGAGCTTCTAAGCCCAGATAAGCATTACCATAATAAACTTCAAGAATATGTAAGTGTACCAAAAAGGTACATCTGATATTCATTTAAACTATACTATTTTTACATTGTATCACTAGCAAGTGAATACACTATATTTTCCCAAAATAAGTTAATACATACCTAAAAATAAACACCCTCTAAGCAGTCCTTATTGCTGCTTTACTTCCCTTCCTTTTTTCCCCGCATACTTGTTAGAATACCTTATTTTTTAACAAGTGCACTTAAAATTCTAATAATTTCATCCTCATGTCAGGACCACAGCCTCTAGAAACTAGCATAACTCAATTAATAAGCCATTTTCTGGCAGGCATGAAGGCAATGAATTTGGGAATCATAAAAGTGCTTCCACTCTGGAAAAAAGGATAGCCAGCTGTTTCCATCCATAGGACAACGAACAGACGTTGGACTTTATGCCTTTGAATTGAGTAACAGAATCATGATGTTGGAAAGGCACTCAAAATGTCATCCAAAGTATTTCTGCCCTTCAACACAGTATCAACTATATGTGTATCATTCTAAACAAATTTTCTCTCCCAATACAGAAACACAATTTTCCTAGCCAAAATTATTCTGCATTCCTTTGGCATCCTCACTCTTAGAAAGCTTTTCATAATTTTTCTTTGCAGCAGCTGCATGCACTTGATGACACTTACTGTGTGTCCCCATCAACCTTTTCTTTTCTAGACTAAACAATGATAATAATTCAATTCTTTTCTCAGAGACTACTTTTACACTTTTCATCATTCTGACTCTTCTTGACTCTTTACAGTTAGTAAAGATTTTTAATGAAGGGCTGTCATGCCTAAATCTAGATGCAGTTCTTAACTAAGCTCAGTAAATTGTCTTGTAAGTAATACTTCCATTCATCGATCAGAGTTTTGATTTCCCTTTTTCGTAGTACCATGATTTGATAATTCATGTTCCTCTTGTGAGACACTATAATCCCAAGATCCTTTCTGCTAAACTATTACCTAGTCACTTAGCCAGTTGTATTCAATCTTATTTTTAGGTAGCTGAATATCCTTAACTTTATTAACCTTGTGGTTAACTATTAGCTTTGTGCTTATCCCTAGCTTTCAGAACATATCTCTCGATACATGAAAGCTTTCTAAAGGGCCTACTCCAGTCCATTTGAAGCCTCTTGCAACTAGGTGGTGGCTGCAGAATTAATATTCCATTATCCAGGTCATAAGTGACAATACCAAGGTAACCGGACACAGAATAGATGCCCACAGAATCCTCAATGCATTCTCCTATTTTGACACTGAGTATATGTATGAGTATAAATATATTCTTTATCATAAATATTTATTTTATAGATTATTTATTATATTGTAAGTACATTATACATATATGAGTATAAATATAGATATGAATATAAAAATATACTCGGAAGTTTCGCTTCTGAGCATAACTAGCCAAATGGTACTGGAAAACAGACCATCCATTCCATTTACATAGGACAAGATTTAGATATTTCTGGCTGAAAATGGTACATGTCTCTCAGGTGTAATCAACAAAAGCACAGCACATAATGAATATTTTAATTTGTGTTGCCATAAGGTGTCTACTATGTGGACAAATAGGTAAGAATAGAACAAGTGAAATCTCTACAGGCTTTATGTGATACTTTCCACAGAAGCATTCTTTCCACAGACTAAGCATACAGATTATTCTGTCTGGTTTCACAAAAATAAGGATTCTGAGATTTAATTGAATAATATTATTTTATTTGGAATTGAAAGAGAAATGTAAATAGATGGTAAAGAAGTCATAATTCAGCAGGCCACTAACTGTTAAAGTCTCTATTTTTATAAAGAAGACACAGTAAAATGTGAAAAAATTCCCCTCTGGTTTGAAAGACAGAATCTTACTTCCAATTACATAAGGAATTTGATTGCAAGGCACTCATGTAATTCTCATTCAAGGAGAAAATTACTAAGTAATCATGTTTTAATAAGCAATCCTGTACCACCTATTGGTCTGTCAGTTCTTTAAATACCAAGCAGGCTGAACTTACATTCGTATAAGATGGTATGAAATAGGACAAAGTTTGTGCAGAGGAGAAGAGATTTAATGCAGTGAATAAATCAGCACTAACATGTAATATTAAATAAACTAGCTTACCTATTCCAAAAGCAAACTATTGTCCACATTCTATTGCCGTACCTGTATCTTGATCTGGAAGACTTTTTTATAGAACACGCAAAAGGAATTTACCAAGAAATATAAAATGACACGGCATCAGCTAAAAATTATAATGTATGATGAACCTCACAAGATTTTTATGTCTTAATATGTGTAGAAAGCATCTTTAACCAGACTATATAATCCCATACACTGTGACACTAGTGGCATTCTTAAAACCAGTCAAGCATAAATTTCTGTAGTAAAGCAAAGAAAAAGATTTTTGTTTAAACCCTACTACATAGATATAATTGTTAGAAAAAAGGCAAGAAAAGTTGAGAGCTGAGAAAAAACATGAGAAAGCACAAATTAAGCCAGCAGAACTGGTAGTTTTACATTAATCTACAGGAACTTTTTGTTACTATCTACTAATAAACCCTCCTGTAACTAAATAAAATGCCTCTCTACTACTGTATCACTTGCAGTCCACCAGGATTGATCCATTGGAGCCAGTCTGCAGACATCTGCGCTTTCAGAGAGACAAAGGAAAATACAGGACCATCCAAGAGGACCAGCTGTCTGTAAAAATATTCAGCTGCTACTACGAGTCAATTAACAGGGAAAGGTGGAAAGACAGGATATACAATAACAGAATGCTGCTATACTCAATTAAATTCAAATTTCATTTGGATTCTAACACCTGATTTATTTTTATTTTTTAAATTGACTAAATAATGGGAAGTTTAATACTGCTGAAAATGAGTTCCTGAAATTTTCACAGAAAGCCCTACAATTCCCATGGTTTGCAACACCATGATCATAAACCCATGAGTTTACATTTAATAAAATCAGAGAATAATTCAAACAGTGACATAAATAAAGAGGATACCTTTGTAAAAAAATACATTGGTTTCTCACAAGAAGTAGTATTTATTATACCATTAGTTCATATATTGTCTAAAGTAACTATTACTCAATTAAGTTTTAGAAAAAGTTAAGAGACATCATTAAAAAATTGTGCTGTTGTAGCAAAAGAGTTAGTTTACAAAGCAGCAAGGAACAAGAATAATGAAATTTCATCTGTCAGAATACAGGTCTAATTCTCCACCTGGTTTGCTGTCACACACCTGGAGAAATAGGTATATTCACTTAATTGCCGAGATCATGAAATACAAAGGTAACTATTTGTGCATATTAGTTCCCAATTAAAGTTACACTGGTTACATTCTTCTTCAAAGTTCTTTAGAAACCTGTATTTCCTATTAAATAATTCTTCCTGAATTAGGTAAATTAATGAAATGTAAAAATTAATTTTACAAAGAGGGCATCAGAAATGTGAACTAATAGGATTTACAGACACAGCCAAGTACTACATGCCATTTGCACTTGGAAGAATTTGTAAAATATTATTCAACAGAGGTGTTCATGTCCAACTTCAATCTAACATTCAAAGGACTGTAACAATTAATAATTTCTCTAAGGTGTATTTACAAGTGCCAGCATGTCCTCATCCTGGCCCCATTTTTCATTTTTTGCATCACATGAGTTTCAATTTTATAGATTCTATAGCTTTATTTATATTTCTCATTAAGTACTGCACTAGGACACAATATGGAAGTTTATGACAAAAGATGTTTTGAAAGATCTGATTGAACTGATATATATCTATGTATCCATATTTCACATTATATGTATTATAAAATTGAAAAAGGTAGATAGCACAGCTCATATACAAAGTGCCCTCTTGTGGTTCCAAACAGATTTATAATACAGTATACATTTAAATGGTTTTCTAATATATAACCATATTGTTTTAGGAAAACAGTATCGATTATTATTCAGCCTAGACTTTCTTCTGCAACAAACACTACTAATGCTATTTCTTTGTCCTACCTGCATACAGTAAGTCCAAGTACAAGCTCTCTCTGTAACGGATCATGTATGAGGCAGACAATAGCTGCACTACAGTAATGACAAAGCTACTGGATAAACTTTTAGTCATTAAAGACATGATTGTCCTGCCCCTTTCTGACACAGCTCTTTAACTATACCAGAAAAACATTTTTTGGTATTCCTTATTCAAAACGTCTGAGTCCTAACATGCTTTATACTTTATTTTTCCAATAAAATTAGTCTTACTGAAAGAGAAGTTTGCTAGAGTAACTTAATGACAGCCTTTAATTATAAATCTGTTCAAGGGCAGACATGACCTGAAATATTGGCACTCTTAGATACGTATTATGACTTTCATTCATTTCTCCTATACAATATTTCCTCTACCTCATTGGGATGTGGAACTTCCATTCTCAAAGGCAAGAAACCTTCCAAGATAAATAATAACCCTGCATTCTCAAGCATGAGTTGACTCAGCAATCTACCTATCTTGTTTTACAATGAGATTTACAAGCCCATCTATTACCTGTTCACTCAATAATAAATAAAAAGGGGGTTTTCTTAAAATTGAAAACTAAACATTGACACAGAAAAAGCAAATACAAAGAAAGAATACCTTTTTGGCCTTGGTTTTTTTTTCGTAAGTCTCTGATAATGGTTTTCTTTTTTCCTGAGTGGTATCTTTGGAGAATAAATATTCAAACTCAGTAGTATCAAGTATATCAGGTTCTACTAGTGATTCCCATAATGTTAGCATAGCAGTTTTCCTATAGAGGGAAAGGTAATAATAAAATTTTCAATAAACATTTATGAAAAAGCATAATAGATATATCCATAACAGATGAAAATTCGTAATAGATTTAAAACTCAAAGCAGCATGCACCGCTGCTATACAAACAGCATTCCTTCCCTATACCTTGCTCTTTTAAGGAGTCAAAATGTTTTGCAAAAGGGCTGTACCAAAAAGCTTAGCCAGTTAGCATTCATGACTGCTACACGATCAAAATGCATTATTTGTATTGTACAGTTTTTTGTACAACAACCAAATATTACAACTGCAGCTTGTGCAAATACATCTCGAAAGACTTCTGTCACTTCCACTAGGATTAGGAGTATTTCAACAGCAGCTTTTTTGACAAATTCCCAATAATCTATTTAGACCTATAAAAATAAACTGTTAATCAGTAGTGAACAAAGTTAATTAAGGCAAGTTTTAACAGTATTTAGGGTCATTTGTATAGGACTTGATTCACTTCGTGTTAACTGCAAATGCTGTATGCTCATATTTATCCTTGTTCTGAGAAACTAGAGTAATTATGTGGCCTATATTTTGGGAGATTAACCAGTATTCTGTTCCATTCAACCAACTGTAAATTTTAAATGTGGATTATCTTTCCTTCTTTTTTTGCCTTCCAAGACCAGATTTAGTTTTGGAACACTTTGGAACTTGTTTACACAATCCTATAGTTTTATCTGGATTTGGGGAAAATACTATGTAGTGCTGCAAACCAGCATTTCATTTTTGAATGAGCTTTGTTTCAAAATTTCAGTGCTTCAGGAAAACATGTGCAACAAAACTTCCGAGGGCTCTTCTTGTCTATCGGTAGAAGGTGGGCCCACTTCTTCCAGCAGATGTCACTAAAAGGCAGTGAAATTATTTGCAATAATAATAATAAAAAAAAAAAAGTGATGAAACCCCTTATAAAATATAAATGGCTGATGTCACTAAACATAAATCTATTAGATGTAATATGCAACAAAATACAATACCTACCAATTCGAGGGGAAACAAAATTTTTTTTTTTTTCAAAATTTATGATTTCTTCTACTTAATACTCAACTGTATATTTACCACTGTAAATGTAACAGGCTCTAATTTTTCCATTAGCATTCACTGATACAGCATATTGTGTCACAGGACATGCTTACAGTACCACAGCTTCACTCTCCCTGGTATTAGCCATCATGTCAGCTACACAGAAGAATGAAGGATTCTTTCTGGCTCTGTTACAAGAACTTTGAAGTCCTGGGCAGCTGATGATCTGAGTAGCAGACCCTTGAAGAAGTTTCCAGTTCTAGGGCAGACCATGAAAATGCTGGACCATTACATCTGGTGACCAGCAGTTCACCAGAAAGCTAAGACTTACACCTTATCTTGCATTCAGCCAGAGCTTCATGAACCAGTAGTATTTCAGAACAAACTTTTTGATTTCAGTGAAACAATAGGAAGAATTAAAATAAGGCTTAATTATGGACCAACTGTTTATCCACTATGGAACAATTTCTCACTAGTAATTTTGGGAAAGTAAAACCAAAATGAACAAAGTTCCTGTTCCAAAATATTTCAATACCTGTAATTCTGAATTATTGAAAGAATACAACTGACATTTCATTATCTGCTCCTGTCAAACATTTTATATTAACACCTTACAATGCTTTATTATACCAGAATAAGGGTTCTTTCATCAAAATAAATTAGACAAAAAGCTGTAAACTAAAGTAAAACTCATATTTAAATACATTTAAATGCAGATATTTAACAGTTTAAATATAAGCATAAAAATAATATAAAATATTAAGAATATTAACAATTTGTAATAGGTATTTTATAGTGACTTAATGTAAGAAGTAGTCTATAATAAATCATCTGTAATAATTAATAATATATAATATAATCAGAATATATAATACAGTATGTAATATAGTGTGTATATATACTATAGCATAATAATTATATAACTATATATAATTATTACATATGATTGTAATATATTATGTTACATATAATTATATTATTACTACATATATTATTATCTAATTATATAATGTAATTTATTAAAATGCTTAAAATAAACTTAGCATCTTTGTAACTGCACTTACATTAAAATAACTTTGAATACAGATAATAATTATTTGATTTTTAAGACCAGAATAATAATGTAATTTCATTACCTGCATAACACAGGACCTGAATTTTATTTCATGATTCTAGCAACTCCTTGTTAAACTAGAAATAGTATGTGTCACTTAAGCATCTCCAAAAAAAACCTTTTGAGCCAGACCTCTTAATGGAGCTCTATGTTACATTAATAAACTCTTGAAGCAATGTTAGAATCAGCCAAAATCCAAAAGAGCAGCTGAGCAGCACTGAAACCACATGCCACTGTTGGCAGTAAGGTACGCATGGCCCAGGTAAGGTACGTTGGCCCAGAAAGTGTAAATGGGAGTACTTCTTTTCTCCTGCCAGCTGAATAAATGGATAGCATAGACAAATCTTGTGGGATAATTTCAAAAAGACTGTCTAAAAAGTGTTTATTTATGCCTGTTCACCAAATGATCCCCTTAAAAACAAATGAGTAAAACAGTATGTTTCATAGGAACTTTAGATTTGTTACAACAGTATATACTGTTAGACTGCTTTCAAAGAATGATCTGGGTTGGAAGGGACCTTTAAAGATCATCTAGTTCTGCCCCTCCACCACAGGCAGGGACACCTTCCACTAGACCAGGTTGCTCCAAGCCCCGTCCAACCTGGCCTGGACCCTGTCAGGGAGGGGGCAGCCACAGCTGCTCTGAGCAACTTGTTCCTGTCTTACTAACCTTGTAAAAAATTTCTTCCTTATATGCAATCTAATTCTACCTCCTTTCAGTTTAAAACCATTGCTGCTTGTCCTGTCACTACAGGCACGTGGTAAAGTCTTTCTCCATCTTTCTCATAAGCCCCCTTTAAGTACTGAAAGGCTGCTGTAAGGTCTCCCCGGAGCCTTCTCTTCTCCAGGCTGAACAACCCCAACTCTCTCAGCCTGTCCTCATAAGGGAGGTGCTCCAGCCCCCTGGGCATCTTCGTGGCCTCCTCTGGCCCCGCTCGAGCAGGTCCATGTCCTTCTTATGCTGGGGGCCCCAGAGCTGGGCACAGCACTGCAGGGGGGGCCTCATGAGAGCAGAGTAGAAGGGCAGAATCCCCTCCGTCAACCTGCTGGCCACTCTGTAGTGCAAGCCCAGGACACAACTGGCTTTCTGAGCTTCAAGATCAATTTGACGGCTCATGTCCAATTTTTCATCCACCAGTATCCCCAAGTTCTTCTCAACACAGCTGCTCTCAATCCATTCATCCTCCAGCCTGTATTGATATTGGGGATTGTCCTAACCCATGTGCAGGACCTTGTACTTGGCCTTGTTAAACTTTATGACATTTGCATGAGCCCACTCCTCAAGCCTGAGAAGATCCCTCTGGATGGCATCCCTTCTGTCCAGCATATCTAGCGTTTTATCCCAGCACTACGTCACAACAGGATTGGTAATTTTTGTATTTTTCATACTTATTTTTTTTAAACTATAGAGATCTCTGTCAGTAATGAGATCCCTCATGCTACAGGTTCCTGAGCTGCATATGTTTACACACATGCTTTACTTTACCTGCTCTGACAGAATTATACACAGAGTTCTAGTTTAACCATTTCTAGAACTGGAATTATAGATGATAACACAACATAGTGCTCTGAAAATGCTATACCCTGAAGTGACTGGAAAGCAAATTGCAACTCTTAAGTTCTTATCTGACCAAAATAACATTTCAATACTAATTCTAATTTAGATTAAAAAAAAAAAAAAAAAAGAACACAAACTTTCTAGTCTCTTGGCTACCTTTTTTCTCTTTAGTGTTAAGTCTAGGAACCACTCTGTCACTAACGTTGTCTATGGAGTACTTGGATTTTAGGGAAAATATTGACAAAATTTGTTTTTGTTATAACGTCCATTATTTTCATTTATAATACATATAATGTTAGTTTATATTTAATATTTTAAAATCATTTATTATGATCTATTTTTAGAATTCTAGAACTGATTCCATTTTTTTCTTAAAACATGTAAATTCCATGCCTCTACACTGATTTTACTATCCATTCTTAGACTATTAACGTTTTGTTATTAAGTCTTAAATGGTATACATACCCTTGTATCACGGCCTATAAATAGCAACTCCAAATCCAAATAAATATATTTTACCTGCTACCTTGTAATTGTATCCGTGTCCAATACAAAGGCTTCATGGGACGTCTAGGTTCAATGGCAGGTTTTCGAGGACCTTGGTTTGAAGATAAAGTGCTATTTAAAAAGAACCCAGGCCCAGGAGGTGGAGGGGGTGGAGGTAACCCAGATCCAGGCAGTGGAGGAGGAACAGGAGGTCCCAACCCTGGAAGTGGTGGTGGCGGCGGCGGTGGTGGTGCTTGAAAATTCCTACAGCTGTCCGAAAGTGGAGGTGGCAGTGGTGGACCGGATCCAAACTGAGATGTCAGTGAAGTTGGTCCTGTTGGCAAAGGTGGCGGTGGAGGAACTAAACCTGGTAGTGAAGAATCAGGGAGGGGAGGAGGAGGAGGAGGAGGTGGTGGTGGTGGTGGTGGTGGTGGTGGCGGTGGTGGAGGCAACATTTGTTTTGGTTGACAAGATAAGACACTTTCTGAAGAGTGCACATTGTAATTGTCCTTATTTTCACTTTGGGAAGAAATACTATGAGACAAAGAAGAAATATTAAGCTTTTTGGGTACTATTTGGTTATTTTTCACAGCTCTGTTTTCTTCTTCACTAGGCTTTATGAAAGTTTCTCTGTCGGTCTGTATACATACATTTCGGTATGTCTTTGGTGGGTTATCATCTTCAGTAGAAACACTAATATCCTTTGCTTTTTCATTTCTTCTGTTTAATTTATTATCGAGTTCATTCTTCAGATGTGCAATGGTTTCTTCAAGCTGAGCAGTTGATACAGCATGTTCTCCACGAATATGAAATACCCTGAGTTCAAACTGAGACTGTAGGAGAAAAACAAAAACAAAAAAACACCCCTTAGTGCAAATATTTTTCTGAAGTGTTTATTTTGTAGCGATTAAAAATCTTCACACTTAGACTATGTTCTTACCTTAAGCAAAGACAGAAATACTTCACTTTCCCAGTTCTAAATGGCTTTATTACAAGCTATTACATAACTGGACAACTACTAATATTTAAAGAAATGTAAGCAGTGTGTGTTCCAACAAAATATATTTTATGAGTAAATACCCAGAATATCTATTTCATAAATTCTAACTCAAACCTTATCTTTAAGCAGACTTACTGATTTTTAACTGCTGAATGCAATAATTAATAGTTCATTATGGAAAAAAAAAGGTACCTTTTTCAAATGGTATTGTAGTTAATGACATGATTTTATTGTCTATTTCATCTCATAAATATGCCATATATAGATAACATGTTAGGAAGTAAAAAGTAGAATATACACAACAGAAGTTGAAATTCCTTCCAGATAACACATTAAGTAAACAAATTAAAATACTCTACCAATCTCATCAATTAAGTACACAGAGGTACACATAAATTATCCTTAAAATTTATCTTTACTATTAGATTAAAACTTCTTCTCTAACAAATATATTTTAATCTACAAGTCAGGATGACAAATCTTAGAACCAAGAGGGTCAAGAAGATTTCACTGAGGTAGAAGGAAATAACAACTTTTCAACAATATATGTAAGTAAGGAAGAAAAAAAACCAATCCACTTTTCTTACCATATCTCAGAAAAATACAAAACATTTGAGACAGAAATTTATCATTTAAATATTCCAATCCAATACTTCTATTCCTGATGATTATGTGCCTACAAGCTATTTTCCCTTATGCTATACTATCAGGCAGCTGACCGGTGTTATCTTGTTTCTTTGCAAGGCAGTGAATCCTGAAAGAATATTTTCCATGGTTCTTTCAGGATCTCTGCACAAAGGGAAGCCAACATTTCAACAGACAGAGCTAATGAGCTCTGATTTTCCCAAATTCTTGTAGGCACAGCAATTTACAGTTTAAAAATTCCCACACAGTGATGGACAGAAGTGGCAACATATCACTCCCTGCTTATCATTGCAACTTTAGTACTAGGTCAGAGTTACTAGTTTACAGCATTAACGGATATGCATCCAACTCATGCATCTGTAGCTTAGTATAGCAAATACAGTAGTGTAATATACTGTAATTTTATGTCATACAAAGAAACTTGAAGAGATATGCACACAATATATAATTCCAAACAGCAGTATTATCAGCTTGTGTTCTAATCAATTTGCTAAATCCAACGTAAACAATCTGAAAATACTGGATACAAAATGTTCTTTTTCTTACCTGGCAAGTGTAAAGGTCAGAAAACAAGGTTCAAGTCTTGCAAAGATAAACAGAGGTTTGTATTGGGAACAAACCAATTTCTATTAATTTTATAGAAGATCTAGGACTAATATGTACAACAAAATGAGCATTTCTTGCTTGGCTTTTTTTCTTTTCCTACTGTTACTCTATCAAAGTTTGTTGTTGTTCAGCTTAATTATTAGTTCAGTTCAACGGTCACAAGATTTTCTGCCATTTGAATCACCTTTCTTTTTAAACTCAGCATACTGATCCATAATTGAGGTAATGAAGTAAGTTTGCCTTAGGGAATTCAGCTATTTTGTTTATCATACTATTTTGCCCCTATTGGACATCAAAAACTCCCCAATAGAACAATTTACTTTAAACATTAAAGATTTTCCCAGCAGTAAATCTGAAATCACCTTAAAAACACACTGTAAAACAAGCACAGTATTTAACAAAACTACTTATTACATTTAACTGGGCATGAAAGCAACTGTGTTAGTATTATATACCTTTTCAACTACAGATCTTCAGTCTTTATTTTGTAATATATAGTTGGTGATTTAAACTCAAAATTATATTCGAGGTGATAGTTTCATGCTTTGTCTTGCTTTTTACTCTTTCACATATTGAAATTATTTTCTGTTAATAAATATAATAAAATAATGAACATAAACAAGAATTAAAGCTAAAAATAGTAAACACAAAACCATAAAGCAGGCTTAACAAAAATGACCCACTGGGAATTTGTGTTGAACATGTCATCAATGGAAGAGAACAGTCTTATCCAACTGACTGCAGTATAAAAGAACAGTAAGTAATAAAACAAGTTTTTATTTTTATTACCTTGCATCTCAAAATAAATCTTGTTCACCAAAATAAAAGTAAGTAACATTGAAGTATTTTTAGTTTATATAACTATGATAATATTTTCAGCACTTTCAATAATATGTATATTAATATCTACTGGTTTTATATATATACATAAATAATACATACATATTCTTAATAATGGTCTGCTTCCTGGTAAATATGTCTTCAAAAGAGATTAAATGCTCTCATATCTTCTAAGAATCAGATGGAGATCAAACAGCACACAGTCATTCCACACAGGTAGAATTTAAGCATTCTCTTTCTGTCATGTACTATGACAAGTATGTATACAGTCTACTACATTTTCTCTATTATAGCACTAAGGATTAGTTAGATACCTTATCAACATGTAGTATTAAATAATAAAGAAGACCAGTGTGTAGTAAACTTAGGTACCTTCGACTCCTGAAAGTCAGTCAATAACTACAAAAACTTTTTAAAAAAATTACAATTTTTACTTGTCTATGGCTTAAAACTTTTCTCATGGTACTGCCTATTACAATGAAATCTCAGAATTCAGGCTGCAGAATACTTACTGATAATCACTAGTCCTCAATACTCAAATCTTGAAGGACCCTATGGAGAACTCATACTAAAACTAAATTAACCAAAATTAACTAAGTTTAATTAATTATAACAAGTTTAAACTCAAATAAATTTTCATGCAACCTTTCTGTCAATACAATCATTCATTATGCAAGATGATTTCTTGACTTTACAAATGGTTTGTTCTTTAGAACTGGTGGGATTTGTATTAGTTTAGAATCCTTCTTCTGGTGCATTATACATCAAATTTATAGTTAATATTTATATTACAAAGATAAGTCACTAAAATTTACTATAGCAATTGGTAATACGGTACAGATGCAGGCAAGACTTTTCTTTCTTACAATTCATAACGCAAAGGATAGGGACAATGGAATCTTTCTATACTTTACATTTTTATAAACAAATCTAACATACTGAAAAGGAATATAATAGAACTATTTCTATCTCACAATTTCGAGTGGAAAATAAATCAATCAAAATTACTTTTAGACTACACGTTGTCACCAGAATCCTGAAATATTAAAAATATAATGTCAAAACAGAGAAATTTTATTGAATAGAAATTAGTGTTAGAAGCACTTCTGTACAACCTTCCCAGTTAACATATGTTTTAATCTAAATGAGAACCACAGATTTTTGCTATAGTATACATATGTCTATGAAAGATTACAGTTATATTTCCAGGTGTCTGTCAACGCTTGTTTAAAATGTTTATGATGGCTACATAACAATACCTGTGTTTTTTGTGAAGAACCAATTTTTAGCTACATTCAAAACTAAAGAGATTTGAATAGATGCAGTTGAAATTATTCAGTTGGATAGATACTGTTCAAATAATTCAGTATCTCGTTACTGAATCATGTGAGCAATTATTACTATTATCATGGTGCCAATATACTGTCTTTGGGAACTTCTGTTACGATGAGCAATGACCAAAGGCTATCATCAGAACATAATAGTTTGGTTTACCTTGCTATTGCTTTACCTTAGTACAGTCTTTCTTGCATTCATTGTCAATATTTAATTTGCAAACAGTGCTATGCTAGTGTGCTGAAGACTACTGTTAGAATTCAGAATTCATAATAATTTTATCGGATAAGGAAGCTGTCTGAAAATACATGCTACAATTCCAAAAAGCGAACTGCAATGTACATAGCCATTGAAGGACTGATCAGTAGTACAGAACTTCTAGGGAAAAATGATCTGCAAAGGATAGCGTATCACAAACTGATCATGAGTCAACAACCCTGTACTAGAACATATACATAGAAATATCATATGCAAAAAAGTAAACCTTGTTCTCTATTCAGCTACTAAAAGCTGTGTGTATATTCAGTTTAAGGAAAATGCTGTCCCTGTGTTCATGATCACTGCTACTGAAATTTCGGGCAGCTCATTCGATATTAAATTTCTAGGTTCAATCTACATTGCCTTTTGTCTCCACCTCACCCCTACTGGACAATGCCCCCTTGTTTCCTTAGTTTCTTTCTCTTTCTGTTGCTGAAGAATACTTCCACTGTACCTTAAACCGGCTTTGCAAGATATAATTCAGCTTAAATATTGTGAACTGTCCTTTTAATCCTATGCTTTTCTGACCTCTAAAACTAGTCTTCCTGGCTGATGTACCTCTTTTTCCATTCTTCCACAGGCTCTCTGCTTCTACCCAATATCCACTTGGAGGAGGCTGGAATAGGCAGTTCCGTCTACGCCTCTCCCTGGTAAGTGTCATTTTGCTCCCAAATCTGCCCTTGTTTGGAGCGCAGGTTTCAGTGTTTGCAGCCCTGATCCTGACTAAATAAGGTCCATGCCTATTTGCTACTCAAGCCTCACCAGCACAGGTGTACTCACAAACGAGTTTCTTTAATTTCTCAAGGTTTGTCTGCTATCTCCCACTGCAATGGGCACAATCCATTTTCCTTGAGTAAAATCACCTTGCCAGAGCAAATGATACCAGATGACTCTCAGACTTAAACACAGACGTTTATATACAAACTCAGAAGACCTGTATTACCTTCTTCCTAAAAATATACTACTGGTGATGGGTAAAATAAAAGCCATCCCTAAAAAAACCCAAACAACAACCCTCTTACTAAAATACATTATACTGCCATGGTACAAAGATGATTAGGGAAATACCCAAAATATCGATACATTGTAACTTGGAAAACAAGGTTTTTTGGAACAGCTTTCTGATGTCTTCCTGACTTTCCCCCTTAC